CTTGTTGTGAAGTTTGAAGTTAATCCGTTAATAATTACTCGAGATATCGAGCGGACACTGTTTCGGCAAGTCCATAAAGGGGCATAACTCCACAAATTATGGTCGGATAATGGTGGTTATCGAACTTGTCCGAGCTTTCATGATAATTAACCTTGTTGTGAAGTTTGAAGTTAATCCGTTAATAATTACTTGAGATATCGAGCGGACATCGTTCGCATGCCCCTCCGCCCGCGTGATAACATAATACGTCCCCGTCTTCGACGGGCGTATAAAAAGTACTGAGGCCGTCCTTTAATTGACAAGGCAAAGTATTGCAAGGCAATCCATAGTCCCCCACCGATAATGATTTCTATTTTAAACAAACACATCATCCCAAGATGTCTTTGTACACCAAATCTGGTTGCTCCAGGTGAAAAGGTATAGAAGATATTTCCCAGACAAACTTTTTCCAAAGTGAAGGTCAAAGGTCCAGTCATAGGTCACAGTGACCTAATTCTTGCACTCTGCCATTTCAAGATGTCCTTTTACATCAACTCTGGTTACTACAGGTGAAATAGTACAAAAGATATTCCCCAGACAAACTTTTTCAAAAGTTAAGGTCAAAGGTCAAGTCATAGGTCTTGCACTCTGCACTCCCTCATCTCAAGATGTCCATGTACACCAAATATGGTTACTCCAGGTGAAAAAGTACAAAAGATATGCCCCAGACAAACTTTTTCAAAAGTTTAGGTCAAAGGTCAAGGTCGAAGTGATCTAATTTTTGCACTCTGCCATCTAAAGATGTCCTTGTACACCAAATCTGGTTACTACAGGTGAAATAGTATAGAAGATATGCCCCAGACAAACTTTTTCAAAAGTTAAGGTCAAAGATCAATTCATAGGTCACAGTGACCTAATTTTTGCACTCTGCACTCTGCCATCTTTGTACACCAAATCTGGTTACTCCAGGTGAATTAAATAGTATAGAAGATGTGGTAACTACAATGTACACAAAGTGGCTGTATAGGGTTTATGTATATAATACCTGGCTGGGATGCCTTGATCCTTGAGACTGGTCCACAACAAGGCTTGAAGGTCATCGTACAGCGCCTCATTCTGAGTGGTGTCCCTGGTCAAGGCTGCCACCTCTGCCTGTACAATACAATGAGTATGCTACATTTTACAACTATGATTACAATAATCTTATATAAACACATTCAATAAGATAGGAATGGAAACATAACAACTAACTTATCTGAAATAGTTACAAATAAAGTAAAAGTTAATAATATAAAACATGTTCCTAAAGGAAGTCGGATATATTTGAATAAGAATCTTTTGAATAAATCAAAACTCAGTCAGATTTAAAATTGAAAAATAAGTCACCTATATTATCAACCTGATGATACTTGTGGAAAATCAATGCAATTTATCATAAAGTGTATACACTAAGCAATATTTTACACAAACAGGTTGGTCATCTCAGCCCCTTTTAGTTTTGTGAAATTCCCAAACTCAGCACACTGTCGAGACATGAAAGAACAGGCCAGTGTGTGCCTCTTTAAACAGTTGTTGCCATCCGATTGAAAGTAAGTTTTACTAGGAAGTAGGTAGGCCTACAACATTGATGTGTTGATGCAGAGTTAATAAGTTAGGACAACCAAAAAAAATGCAGTAGTCTTTACCAACTTTTTAACTATTGAATTAAACTCACAAATATGTCCTGGAATAAAATCCTATCTGAAGTTTGACTCGCAAAATTACAGCACAATGGAATATAAAGAAACTTACACATATATTCTGTGGGGCCCCGTACAACCCAGGCAACACACTACTCTCCTGCTCTGTAATCAAACAATGTACAGAAATATGGCACGTTCAATAGTATATATAAATATATAAGTACGCACGTTCAATAGTATATATAAATATATAAGTATGCACGTTCAATAGTATATATAAATATATATGTACGCACGTTCAATAGTATATAAATATATAAGTACGCACGTTCAATAGTATATATAAATATANGATATACCTTCTCCATCAAGAGCCGGGGTCAAAGTCAGAGATCCACTTTGTCTTTGACCTTTGGACCCAAATGACCTTGACCATTAANTGATAGTATATATAAATATATAAGTACGCACGTTCAATAGTATATATAAATATATAAGTACAAGTTCACACTCAATATTATACGTATAAATAGAAACATAGAATTTTCTATGTTAACACATCTTTATATTTCCTGAAGACAATACCTACCCACATCATAGGACCTGCCAACAGTGAAGAACTTCCTGGGAAGATCTTCAGAGGCCAGGACATGTCTGGTAAAGTAAGCTGAAAAAAATACCCTAACAGAGTGATTAATCTGTACCAGGCTCTGTGAACTTATTAAATAACTAGAACACTGACAGGTCAGTAAGGGCCCCGTCTTGTGGCAATTATATCCCCCATAATCATCAAGAAGCAATCTGCCCATATAGCTGAGCTTGACGTTTGACATTTGGACTTCAAAAAGAATCGCAAGGAAGCAAAATATACATTTTACATGTACTATGATGTGATGTGTTTCCTTCCACCTCCATATTTGCTGGGCTAACAGAAATGTAATTACCGGTGCAATACTCATTTGTTAGCTTTGATTTGTTTTATTTCAC